GAATAGCATGGCCATATCTGCTATTTAGAAACGTAACTTGCAGAAACTGTGGAGTGGATATGAGCAGGGAGAAAGCAGAGACAGGCAGACCTGAGATGAATGCACTATTCCAAAAGTTGTAGAGATTTAAATAATAAATCTTTATTATTATGGGGGGAAACTTAAAAGTAGAAATTAAAAAGGTAATGCAGGCCGGATGTGGTGGCTTATGCCTGTAATCCCAGCACTTTGGGAGGCCGAGGCAGGCGGATCACGAAATCAGGAGATCGAGACCATCTGGCCAACATGGTGAAACCTCGGCTCTACTAAAAATACAAAACTTAGATGGGCATAGTGGTGCGTGCCTGTAAACCCAACTCAGGAGGCTGAGGCAGGATACTCGCTTGAACCAGGGAGTTGGAGGTTGCGGTGAGCCAAGATCCTGCCACTGCACTCTAGCCTGGTGACAAAGCAATACTCTGTCTCAAGAAAAAAAAAAAAAAAAAGTAATGCATGGTCTATACCCAAATAGATTTTTCTAAAGGAAAAAATAATAGAAATCACTTCGTTAGATAACCTGTAGCTTTCCAACGTGATTCTGTAGAATATAGACATATGTTGGAAAACATTCTTATCTTCACTCATTTGTTTCTTGAAAGCAAGAAGTTTACACATCCTATAATATAAACAGAAAAGTAAGGAAGTAGTAGAGAAGGAAGGAATATATAAGAAAGAAATTGAAAAGTTCTCAAGACATAAATACTGATATCCCATTTAAAACCCAATTCTAACAAAATCTAAGACCGCTAATTGAATAGATACACAGAATACTTATGCAATTATCTCATGTTAGGTATTAGCATTCACCATTTATTTACCTTCATTCCATTTTCACAGTGTTTATAAAAACTAAAGTCCGGGCACGGTGGCTCATGCCTATAATCCCAGCACTTTGGGAGGCCGAAGTTTGAGACTAGCCTGCTGACATGGTGAAACGCTATCTCTATTGAAATACAAAAATTAGTCGGACGTGGTGGTGGGTGCCTGTAATCTCAGCTACTCGGGAGGCTAAGGCAGGAGAATTGCTTGATCCTGGGAGTAGAGTTTGCAGTGAGCCGAGATCGCACCACTGCACTCCAGCCTGGACAACAGAGCCAGACTCCTTCTCAAAAAAAAAAAAAAAAAAAAAAAACCCTGAAACTAAATATGTGCCTGAAATATGGTCGACATTGTGGATACTGTAATATTGAGGGCCCTCTCTGGCTTGTGGCAGTTACACAAAGCTGAGATAACACATGACACAATAGTTGTAATCTAATATGATATGATCTGAGAGGTATATGCTGTATACTATTAATGTGTGCTATGTAAGAGAATGTGAGTGCCTCAACAGTAATTTTCTAACAAGAGAATTCTTTATTTTTAAATGTAATATTATACTAAATGTTAACATCAAAATAGAGAAAAATTGAAGTAACCCAAATATATGTTATGAGTTCAAAATTTTAAGGATTTAAAAGGCAAGTTGATGTATAAAAATATTTGAAATCAGGGACAGTTGAAAGTTGAAGCCCCTATATCCAATTTAATATATAAATCAATTTATATATGTATTTTTTTGCATTAGGAGTAATATCCAAGTTCACATTAACAATAATTTCAAATGGAAAGTTGTTAATATAGCTAGGTCATCTTGCAATATTAGAATAATCATTTTCAGACACAGTTAAATCACTTTCAAGATATTTACTGTCTGTTTTCATCCCTTACCTATAATACATTAAGGAGAAAACATATAAATCTATAGAAAGATGAATTGTGCCATTATCAGACCATGCATTACGTAGATATGCATAATCTTCTACAGGAATTTAATTAGCAGAGTACTCACACACTATCCAGTTCAATTAAACAAGTATGTATTGAGCACCTACATTATGACAAGCACTAAGCACTGGGCAAACCACCTCTTGTGGTGCTTACAGCCATTAAACAGGTAATTACCAAGGGCTAACTAATGCAGAAAAGGCCTAGGTCCTTTGAGAAACTAAATTTGACCTAAGAAGTCAGAATGGCCCTCTTAAAGCAGTGCGAGCTGAAAGATAAGTGAATCACAGAATCATCGGGGTTATGAGGAGCTGGCAACATACGTGGGTCATGGGGTAGAGATACAGGGAAGAGACTTTTCAACAGAGAAAAAGTCTTAAAGCAGGAGAAAGAGCATGGTAAAACTATAGAAATTAAAGGAGGTCTTTGGCAATTCATTCATTTATTTGCCAAATATGCCTCATTTGAGGGTCTAATAATGCTTAGCACTGTTCTAGACCCTGGAAATGCATTTTAGAAAACAAAACAAAGAAAAAGATCTCCCTTATTGGAGCATACATTTTACTGTGGAATGATTTAAAAATTAAATGCGTCGTGTATCAGATGTGAAGTTCTTTGGAGAGTTCTTATGAAATATTGCAGCAGGGTGTAGCAGGAATCAGGGAAGGCTTCATTAATTTGGTGACATTTGAACAAAGACCTGATATAAAGGAAGGGTTAAACCATCCAGATAGCTGAGTAAGAGCAAGTGTTAAAAAAAGCCCTGTTGTGGGAACAAGCTTTGGGTGTCCAAGATTCTGCAAAAGGCCAGTGTGGCTAGAGCAAAGTATCTGAAGGAACCAAAGGTAGGAAATAAAAAGCAGGGTCACGGGGGTGGGGAGCAAAACCATGCCGTGCTTGGGAGGCAATTATCAAGGCAACAACTTTTACTCTCCGAGGAAGAGAAAGCCAATGGAAGGCTGTAAGTCCAGTCATAACACAGTCTTATACATGTTTGAAGGAGATCGTCAGCTCCTGAATTGACCATAGACTGTAGAAGACCAAAGCCTAACGAGAAGGTACAGGAAGGGTATCTTCATCTGAAGTGGTTGGAGAGGTAGGCAGGGCCAAATCCTGGGCAACACTGTAATCCAAGTTAAATATTTTAAACTTTAACATTAATAAGGTGAAAAATTATAAAAAAATTTAACTAGAAGAATGTAATGAATAGATTTCTGTGTTTAAAATTGTGCTATCCAGTATGATATTCACTAGCCATGTGAGGTTATTGGGCACTTGAAATGCAGTTAGTTTGAATTGAGATGTGCTAAAGTACATACGGGATTTCAAATACTTTGAGAAAAAAAAATTAAAAATTCAAGGAATGTAAAATATTTCAACGGTTGATTTAATGTTGAAATGATAATATTTTGGATATATTGGGTTAAATAAAATATGTTATTAAAATATAATTTCACCTGTTTCTTTTTCATATTTTAATGTAACTGCTACAAAATTTAAAATTATTTATATGTGTCTCACTTTATATTGCTGTTAGACACAGTATATTTAGAAGATCACTCTGAAGAATGGATTAAAGTAGGCAATAATCGTTGCTGAGAGACTAGTTATTAGACTGTTCTCAAGAACAGTCCGAACATAACTAGCCTATTCTAAGTATCTTAGGAGGTGTTCTAAGCATTTTGAAAATATTCTAAGAAGTGGAAAATTAACCAAAAATGCATCAGATAAGCAATAATTTAAATTCTTGTTTTAGCTACCAAAGAAAATAAAGAAAAGGTAACAATGTCTTGTGGCACAAAATTAAGTTATAAGCATGCTACTTTATATGCTGAACAATGTCTTTGGCTGAAATTTGCATGGCTGATTAAAAGAAGAAAACAATATGCTTATAATTCTTCTTTATGTGTCTTATGGGTTCTATATATGTACATGTAATAAATATCTTTTATATTGTGGTTCTATGGCATACATATTCCTAATTAATTTTAAATGGTCTTGCTCTACAAAATAACATAAAAAGCCTTTAAAATAATATTTTAAATACCATTGCAAAATATTCAGAATGTAAGCTCCCCATTTAGATTTGTATATTCTCTATAAATTGACTAGTATATTAGAATTTTAAACATTGTTATAGATTAAAGGTATTTATTTAAATTTCAGGTCCAACTTTTTAATTTTTGGCTAATTATTAACAGACCTACCCTGTCAAATATGTTCAGTTATTTTAAACTGCATATTTTAGTAGAAAACAATTATTTTATTGGCAAACTGTATAAGGTAGATTTTTGGAATATTTTATGATACACTGTCTTATAACTGCTGTCCTAAGATCACATTTAGTAGTTAAATATTTTTAAACAATACTTCAATTATGAAAGTGTTAGTGATGTTTCTTATATATTATTTATCTATTCTGAATTTTCAAAATTTTAGAACAATATTTTAATGATAGTCTTTTATTAACTATATACTATTTATATATTAACAAGTTATTGAAGAAACTATTGTGTGTATTTGTGTACCACCACTCCCGGTCGATGTTGATATTGAATAACCAACCTCTTGATAGTAATTTTACTGTGTGGAATTGATAATTTTGCTTCTTTTGAATTACTAGATCATTTCTAAAAATATTACTGTAAAAGTAAACATAAACTATCAAAAAAATAGAGTTAAAGCATATACAAAAGAAAATTTAGCCACTAAGAAAAGTGTCAAAGACATACTTTCACCAAATCAGAATTTTCTTCTTGTCTACTCACAAGAACTGAAGGGAAAATAGAATGTAAATACATTTTGGGCAGTGTGATTTAATGTTACTTAATGCCATCTCTGGTAATGATACAAAATCATTTTCCTTACTGTCAGTTGTGGGCATCCCCATTCTTAGGTAAGCACTGATATTTTGTGTGCATGTGCCCGTGTGAGTGTGTGTGTGTGTGTGTATCTGTGTATGCTTGAGGTATGATTTTAAAAATTAGCAGCCTCAGCTAAAATATGATTGTATTGTGGTTTTATTAACTCTCAATAACTAATTTCATTTGTTAATCTTAATATATATGTCTTCTCTATATATGTGTAACACTGTACTCTGAGATCCAATGTGTATATAAATTAAAGTATATTGTACATGTACAAGTAAAATAATCCTAGCAATAATAACTAATTTTTTTTTTCTCTTTTTACAGCTTGCAGACCAGGATTCTATAAAGCTTTTGCTGGGAACACAAAATGTTCTAAATGCCCTCCACACAGTTTAACATACGTGGAAGCAACTTCTGTCTGTCAGTGTGAAAAGGGTTATTTCCGAGCTGAAAAAGACCCACCTTCTATGGCATGTACCAGTAAGTCTATACATTTTGGATTTGGAAATTCTGTTTCCAACCCTTTTGGTCTCTTTATTCTAAATTTAAAAAATAAGTAAATGTACAAAATCTGGCATTATCCATGCTATTTTCTGTGATAACAATCAAGGAAAAAGCTTCTCTCTCTACTCAGCATAGTTGCTTTTCAACTCTTTGTAAAGAGTGTGTTTACTCCTCAAAATTCATTTTGATTCATGATGTACAAATGCCAGCACTGGTTTGAGGCCCTACAAGTTTTCCTTATCCATAATCTGTCCTTAGGAAATTATAGCAGTTGAAGGCTGCATGAGAAGTTGTGAACAAAACTTCTGTTCTTTGCTTCAACCCTTGACCATTTTAAAGCACATCAATTTAGGACCATATAGTTAATGTGTGAGGGAGATTCCAGAGGAAACTTTAAAAGTCATTGTGTTATTGTTATGTAGAAAAGTTCAAGTTTCCTTGACATTTATCTTTAAAGGCAGGTATTTTTGAGTTTTTCCACATTTCACCTCTTACTTTCTCTCCAGTATTTTTAGTTAGAAGCAATGGAATGTTAAATCTAAATGTGAAGGTCATTTTAATGTATACACCAATAATTTTAAATGAATTGTATTCTTCTATTATTAAAATATTGTAAAATATTCGTACATTAAAAAATAGAAGTGAATATATTAATATATTGCTAAACTATACAAAAGTAAAATATCACCCCTTAGATTGTTTTAAAATCTTGTTAAATATGTTAACATAAAAACACGACATATAAATGTAGAAAAAGGTAGAGGAGACTTTTTTTTTTTTTAGAGACAGACTTTTGTTCTTGTAGTCCAGGCTGGAGTGCAGTGGCATGATCCCGTCTCACTGCAGCCTCTGCCTCCTGGGTTCAAGCGATTCTCCTGCCTCAGCCTCCTGAGTAGCTGGGACTACAGGCATATGCCACCACGCTAATTTTCGTATTTTTAGTAGAGATGGGGTTTCACCATGTTGGCCAGGCTGGTCTCGAACTCCGGACCTCAGGTGATCTACCTGCCTGGGCCTCCCAAAGTGTTGGGATTACAGGCATGAGTCACTGCCCCTGGCCGAAACTATTTTTTATAAAGAGTTACAGCTTGCAAGGTGGCCATCCTGCAGGCTGGGAAACGTAGCCTCTGACCAAGACATGCACTTTGAGGGTGGTAAGAATGACAGGGATTTATGCTGAATGAGGTGGTCAAAGACACATATTAAATAAGCTATAGGAGTCATGAAATTTATGAAAGCAGAAACATGCACATGTGCAACTGAACTTCATGCCTCAGCATGGGACTCATGTACAAAAAATGGCCATGTTAGCACAATCCAAGGGTGGAGTTTTCAGCCCTCTGATGTCAAAAGGTGAAGCAGATGACATAGAAACCCTCCCTGAGCATACTCTGGACTGGCCAGAACTACTCCACGGTTGGTGGTCTCTTATCAGGAAGGAATGCTGGTTAGTGGTTATGTCTAAACAGAAAGGGAGGAGCAGCATCAGGTAGTTACTTGATATCAGCAGTGGAGTGGGTCTTTAAAAAGGGCTGGCTTCTGTTTAACCCTTAGGGAAGAAGGATTAATGGCAGTGAAGGAGGGAGGTGTGTCCAGCCTCCCATCTCGTCATCATAGTCGGGATCTCAGTTTTAAGTTTTCTCTGGGGTGAGCTTGGCCATGAGGGCATCTGTTCAGTAGGTTGGGGTATTTAGATTTTATTTAATTTTTATTTTTAAAACAATAGTTTTTGGGGAACAGGTGGTGTTTGGTTTCATGGGGGAAGTTCTTTAGTGGTGATTTCTGAGATTTTGGTGCACCCATCGCTCGAGCAGTGTACACAGTACTCAATGTGTACTCTTTTATCACTCACTACCCTCCCATCCTTCCCCACTCAGTTCCCAAAGTCCATTATATCATTCTTATGTTGTTAGTCCTCATACCTTAGCCACCAGTTATGTGAGAACATGTGATGTTTGGTTTTCCATTCCTGAATTACTTCACTTAGAATAATGGTCTCCAACTCCAGATTGCTGCAAATACCGTTATTTTGTTCCTTTTTATTGCTGAGTAGCATTCTATACACACACACACACACACATATACAATGTAAATGTGATATAAATGTTATATATATATATATATATGTCACATTTTCTTTATCCGCTTATTAGTTGATGGGCATTTGGACTGGTTCCATATTTTTCTGCAGTCGCAAATTGTGGTGCTATAAACATGCATGTGCAAGTGTCAAATAATGACATCTTTTCCTCTGGGTAGATAGATACCCCGTAGTGGGATTGTTGGATCAAGTGGTAGTTCTCCTTTTAGTTCCTTAAGGAATCTCCATACTGTTATCCATGGTGGTTGTACTAGTTTACATTCCCACCAGCAGTATAAATGTTCGCTTTTCACCACATCCACACCAACATTTACGATTCACATCTTAATTATGGCCATTCTTGCAGGAGTAAGGTGGTATTGCATTGTGGTTTTGATTTGCATTTCCTTGATAATTAGTGATATTGAGTATTTTTTTCATGTTTGTTGGCAGTTTGTACATCTTCTTTTGAGAATTGTCTATTCATGTCCTTTGCCCACTTTTTGATGGGATTGTTTGTTTTTCTTCTTGCTGATTTGTTTGAGTTCCTTGTAGATTGAGTTCCTTTGTCGGATGCATAGTTTGCAAATATTTCCTTTCATTGTGTGGGTTGTCTATTAACTCTGCTGATTATTTCTTTTGCTGTTTGAAAGCTTTTTAGTTTAATTAGGTCCTATCTATTTGTCTTTGTTTTTGTTGCATTTGCTTTTGTGTTCTTAGTCATGAACACTTTGCATAAGCCAATGTCGAGAAGAGTTTTTCTGATGTTATCTTCTAGAATTTTTATGGTTTCAGAACTTAGATTTAAGTCTTTGATCTCTATTGATTTGATTTTTGTATAAGGTGAGAGATGAGGATCCAGTCTCGTTCTTCTACGTGTGGCTTGCCAATTGTCCCAGCACCATTTGTTGAATAGGGTGTGCTTTCTCCACTTTATGTTTTTGTTTGCTTTTATTTTTATTTATCAGTTGCGTACGTCAGATATTAAGGTGAACATTTGCCCTTCCTGGTGATGAATTAGTACCAAAATTTTGCTTATTTTATTTACTTCCATAGAATCAAAACTAGACTTATGTAATGTCACATATTTCCTAGAGGCATTTCTTAGAGATGTCCCAATTTTTTAAACTTAACAAATGCAGTTCATAGATTTGTCTGTATGACTATAGACTTCCTTATAAAATATTTTTATGGAACACATTTAATAAAGATGTAATACATTCATTGTTGCTATTCATTAGTAGATGTAATTTTGGCTTTCTGATTGTAAATGCTAAGTGGCTGCTTTCTTCAGAAAATTACAGCCTGGAAAATTACTACTTAGGTATTTTTTTTTCCCGTGAACATATTTTAAATTTATAAATAGCAAAATAAAACTTCTGAATATAATTTCTCACTTATAGAAAAAAGTTTTTAGCAGACAAATCTTCCTGTTACTATACATGTAATCTTTCTTGCATGGTTACTAAATAGTATTATATATATTATGGACAACATACTACAGCTTAGATAGTTGGTAGTATTTCCAATAGTTACAGTCCTGTCAGGCAAGTATCCCTCAAAACCTATGTAGGAAACTGAATGGCGCTTTTAAGTGATAGAGGAAAATCTCTTTTTATTTTCTTAGGAGGCTATAAGTAGAAAATTGGTAAATTGACGAAATAAGTTCCCATCAGTGGAACCCTTTAGTAAAGTAGTGTACTCAATAATTGAGAAAGCTTAGAGTTATTCAGCATGACAACCTAGTCAAAGGAAAATAAAGATGGGCTACAACAAGGTCTATGAATGTGATAAGCTTGTCAGTCATTTTTGAATCAGATATGTGTATTTTTCCACTTATCATTTTATGTCACTTGAATTTGCTTTCATTTCTAATTTCCCTTTTTAATGCTTTGATATTATAAATTATATTTCAGAAATGCTAGCCTACCTTTTTTATACAAAGTAGAAGCAAAGAAAGGTTTGATTCTGTCATTGGCTGGGCAGAATTTTAGACAGGGAACAGCATGCCATTGTTGCTATAGGGCAGGAAAAATAATTTTCCTTCTACCCTTCATAGTTCTTAGTTGAGACAGACTCCAGTAACAAAAGAGATTAGCAAGAGAAAAGCGAACAGTAATTTACTAACATGTACCTCATGTATACATTGGACATACCTAGGGAATGAGTAAATCTCAAAGAGGTAGCTTTGAGTTTAGGTTAAAATACCATATTCAGCTGCAGCAAAGAAAGAAGAGTTTTGGACAGGGGAGCAGTAATGGGGAGGTAAAATCACAGTAAACCAGGGTAAGATGTATGTTGATTTAAGTCAGTGCCTTCTTCATGGATAAGAGTTTCTGGTGACTTAGTGATCCTTCTATTCCTGAGAAGACAGGGAGATACACTTACAAATGGAGATTTCCTTTGTAGATATAAATTTTCCATAGAAAAGGGTCCTTTCTACTTTGTTTTCTGAGCTTCTACTGTGTCTGCAGTTTTGTCAAATAAATTGACTCAAAATAATCCTTACGCCAAAGGGGCATATTTTTGAGTGGTGTATTCTGGTCTCCTATAGCTGTATTTTAGGGTGGCATATTCTGGTCTTCTCCAGTCATATTTTGGAGGGCATAATTTGATCTCCTACATTGTTACCAGTGATCAAAAGAGAGAACCTCCAAAGAAAAGTGAAATATAGAGCTTTAGTCAAGTTTTCCTAGTCCAGACAGGAAACTTTCTTCTCAATGCTTCTCTCTGCTACTTCTTTAAGAGCTTACTTACTTTGTTTGGCAAAGACTCAGCTTAGTGCTGAGTTCACTATCTTTTAAAGCCAGATTTTCTCAGAGTGAATCTTGGTGATGTAGGAGCAAAGGGAAAGCTAATCTTTCTTTTTTTTTTTTTTTTTAGGGAAAGCTAATCT